ATTTCACTATTTTCATGTGTTATACTACTACAGGAGAAATTTCTGCAATTTGATTGGCTTAGAGCAGTGGTATTTCAGCTTAATTTGAAATACCTACATGTGAAAATTACAAACCTTCGGCGGGTAGTAGTATAAACAAATAATAGCAGGATTTGTACATGATATTTGGCATAAATACCACTCGTGATATTTCAAAATTGTCTCAAATTTCACTCGCCTAACGGCTCGTGAAATTACGTAGAACAATTTTGAAATATCACTTGTGGTATTTATGCCAAATATCACTACAAATCATGCCATTACCTATACTAATCAAATGGTGACGAATGAAATTAGGGAATAACTTAACTTCACATACGTTAAGTCCAAATCCTAAAAAAGGCTTGGGAAATATTAGGATTTGGCAAGAGCCACTTGGATCTGGGCACGCAAGTGAAATTATTCCCTAATTTTACGAGTCTACCATTTGATTACCTAATATACTATTAATGGCCATGAATAGCCCATTTTACAGTTACAGTTGGAAATTAGGCTGGAGCTGACCTTGTTTTGATACAACCCTGCTTGCTTTATTATGTAAATCATGTTTTTGTTATTCTAAATAGTACTTTCTTAGCAAAAGTTACTTTAGAAAAGGAAGGAGGTCTGCATGAAAACAAGGTCACCCTCAGCCTCTTTAGTTCACTCAAAGGCAAGGAAACCAAGCCCACAACTGTAAAATGGCCTATTGTCAACATGTGATGCTACTGGTTCAACTCGATCTTAGTGCTGCTTTTGATACGGTTTAACACTCTACTGTCCTGCTATCATGTCTCAGTAAAAGCTTTGGAATAAGAGGGACAGCGCTTGAACGGTTTGCGTCCTATTTATCAAATCGGCGTCAGCGTGTTTCACTTAATGGCAACTGCTCCGACGCTTTTTAGTTAAAGCAGGGTAATTCTACAAGGCTCCTGTTTAGGACCATTACTATCTACCCTGTATGCCACCAAACTGTTTAAGGCGGTCAAACGACACTTGCCAAATCTACATGCTTATGCTGACGACACGCAGTTATACTTAGCCTATAAGCCTGACTGTGCCTTGGGCACTAACGAGGCTACTTCTGCTATGGAGCTCTGAGTTCGTGAGATCAGAGCGTGGATGTTGTGTGATAAACCCTTTTGAAGATTAATGACGATAAGACAGAATTTATCATTACTGGTACGCAACAGCATTTGGCAAAGGTTCAAGTTGACTGTCTCACAGTTGTGGATGCTCGTGTACCATATTTTTCCGCCGTTAAAAACTGATTTAGGAACTTGGATTGACACACTAATCTTAGCCTACATGTTCACATAAATAATACGTGTAAAGCCGCGTATTACCATCTCACAAATGTAAGGCGTGTAACAAAACCAAACATTGGTTCATGCACTAATAATAGGACGTATCTGATTGTATCTTATATTATTGTAACAGTATTCTATATGGTCTTCCGTCCGTACATATAAAAAAACTTTAACGCCTTCGAACTCTGGAGCAAGCAGTGCCGGATCCAGACCCTGAGACTAGAGGTGGGAGGGCAGGTCATCCAGACCCTTCGATGAGGGGGGAACCGGTCCTCCCAAAATATTTTTTCCGACCTTCGGGCCTCACTTTGGTCTAAAAATAAGGGGGTGCGGCCCTCCCCTGGATCTGTCACTGGCAAGATTAATTTTCAATGTACTTAGATCAGATTTTCACACATCACTCCAGTCAGTTATATTCATTACACTGGCTGTCAGTTAAATTTAGGATAGAAATTAAAATTATGTTTATTACATTTAGAGCAATTTATGGGCATGCTCCAAGTTATATTTGTAAACTTATTAATATCAAGGAAAGTGGAGGGTACAACATAAGGTCAAACGAAGGACTCCTCCTACAAGCTCCAAGATTTATTACTCATACGACACTTGGTGACCGTGCCTTCTAGCTTGGCTGCGACACCAAAACTGTTGAACAGCTTGGCCGTTAATATTCGTAATGAGGAAAATTTTAATACTTTTAAAATATTGCTTAAGACACATTTTTTTTTAAACTAGCTTTTTATTAGGTCCAATAGATATTTTGTAAATTTTTTATCATGTATTTTTTATAGCTTTTTGTTAGTTATTATGGTTTTATATGTGATTCGCATTTGATCATATACATATCTAATTTGCGTAGTATAAGTAATAAATTTATTATTTAACATTATTATTAAAAGATAATAGGCTTAATATTGTTCTGACTTTTTTTCTTTGGCAATAGGTACGTCATAATTAATGTATGGGGTTAAAAGAAGTCTTGCCTATTAACAAGTTTTCAACAAAATTACCTTTTAGAATCTTTCTTGATGTGCTCTTTCGTGCGTTAAGGTTTTCTAAAGCGTCTTTTAATGCCCTGACATCTTCAGGTTATATGTTCGTTACGACGAACATATAACTCAATTAACTTCGAAATGTATAGGTAGCCTTTGTCAAATAAATCGCGTAAAATACCTGTTTGATAGGCGTACGTTGATCACTATAATTAATTCTCTCGTATTCAGTAAATTATTGTATTGTTCATCCGTATGGGCTAATACCACCAAGAAAAACATCGAGCTATTAGAGAGAGTGCAAAATCTTGCAGCCCGGATAGTTTCTGGAACGAGGAAATTTGATCATGTTACACCTATTCTTAAGCAGTTGCAGTGGCTGCCAATTGTTAAACAACTTGAGGTTAGAGATGCTGCCATGGTATTTAAATGCTTAAATGGACTTGCACCTCCATATCTTTGTCAGAAGTTTAAAACCAGATCGGAAATCCACAACTGCAACACTAGGAATAGGGACCGCCTACATATACCACTCTGTAGGACGGCTGCAGGTCAGCGCGCGTTTACCCTCAGAGGCCAAAGGCTGTGGAATAGTCTCCCAGACGAGTTTCAGTCTATCACTAATTTAGATGTATTTAAGGTTAAAATAAAACAGCATTTTTTAAGGGTATTTTTGGAAAACTAAGTTTTAGATATTTGACATTGTAAATTAAGCTGAAAAGCCTTTTTGAGGAGTTTAATAAAGTTATTATTATTATTATTATTATTATTATTATTATTATTATTATTATTATTATTATTATTATTATTATTATCACTTGTCACTGAGACGTACGGAAAGTTGCCAGGCCAATTTTGTAATTTCACATGTGAAATTAAAAATTAACGCTGAAATTTCTTGCCAAAATTAAGGAGTAACTGAATTCGTCACCCATGATATTTGAAAATATAAATGTATAGAATCTTTAAAAGTGCGTTTTCCTTGTTCCAGTCTATCTAGTAATTTTAAAAAATTCAGATTATTTGAAAAATAAAATATTCGAATCGCGAAAATTAATGCCCTTTTTCCTATTTGCCTATCATTAAAATCGCGCGAAAACTTGTTAACATACCGTCTCGCCAAAATCGCGAAATAAAGTACGAAGAAGGTAGCACGGTATTTAGAGATTACGAAAGAGTAAAAGGTGCAGTAAAGATACACGAGGCGAACTCTTTCAAACTGCAACTGGAAATTAAATCAAGCGCATTCTAGAATTTCTTGTCAACATAATTTAATTACCGTCGTAGATTTGGCGCCATTAAGTGCCGGTTTGCTTTCTTGTTTTAAGTGTTCGTTGATGACAAACCCAATTATCTGCTCAAACAATCTTCCTTGACCAGGATGTTATAATTACTAAAAGCGTTTTGGTTTCTGTATAGGGCCCTGTATTAATAAAAAAGAAACTAAACGTCCTTAAACCAAAATTAGCGAACATCGCGTGGCGTGTGCCCATGAAGTTTATTGAACTGAAAATGAACAAGGCAGTTCATTTCGTAACTTCAACGTTATTACTCCTGATTTGTGAAGGTGAGTAAACTGGACATTAATTTTTATCTTTTGCCTTATGATGATGTTGTTGTAACTTGAATTGAAAAGATGAGAAGACTTCTGCATTTGTTTTAATTGTCGTTCAAAAGCACCAGGCTTAACTCTTTTAAAATTATTATTAGAGCAAAATTTTCATTCGGTAAATAACACCATATTTCTATTAAAATGGGCGCACTTTGTCACTGAAGCAAAACAAAACAGCTTTAGAAAACCTTTAAAACATTTCTCGTTGCCAGTGTTATTTTATCATTTGTTGAATGATGAACGTTGAAGTAAAATTATACAAATATTGGGAAGGGGCATGGCTGGGGCCACGCGACATCTATTCACGATGGCTGCTATATTTGATAATTAGCCACCATGCATATAGTTTGTGTCGTTTAGAATTTTTCGTTGTTGGAACACAAATTTGAACATTGGAGACCTTTAGATTCTAATATAAGGACGAACGAATACCAGGACGAGATTTTCTCAACACTAAGTAGTGCGCGCGCGTGAAACATCGTCATTTTGGTGGGAAAACGTGATAGCCGTCGTTATTGTACTAAAGGGTTTTTAAATGAATAAAACAATTAAATATACCGTTCATTTGCCACATTGCAGAAGTAACTGAATTAAAGGGCTATAGTTAACAATCAACAAACAATTAACACTACTACTACTATAGAAACAATAAAAATATCTTAAATAAATATTTACATATTAAATAAAGGAAGCTGAACGCTGGGTCCGGCAACAACTCCTAGCGTAAACAATATTTCTATTGTTGTCGCTGGCCCGCAAGTTGTAACTATGACTACTAATTGCTGTTCTTGGCTTGAGGAAGTTAATGGGGTGGTCACTTTGAGTCATCTTCCGCAATACATTTACAGCAGAGCATAGTTCATCTTTCTTTCAAGCTGCTAAGGTTGGTAGAATTAAGGGCATCTAAGTAACTATGGCATGGATGGATGATATATAGTGCCCTTCTTAAAATTGACTCCAGTTCATTTTAAAGAAATTCAGGAATATCTTGCCATTTGCACGCCATATTCTAGTATAGGTCAGTATTATTGTCAAGTAAACTTTGAGAATTCCCTCTCTATTAACACCCACTTTTTTAAGAATCCTCAGGGAATACAGGCGTTTCGAAGCTTTTTTCGATATGTAATCAATATGCTAGTTCCACTTTAAATCATTACTGATAATAATGTCGAATAATTTATAAGTTGCTACTCATTCAACTGTGTTGTTACCTAGGACAATTGGTCTTGTAGTAAAATTATCACTTTGCATGAAGTTAATTAACATTTCTTTGCACTTTTTAGCAAGAATGAAGTGCCAAAAACAAGTTATCAAATGTTAGAAATCTTATCATTTTCCAAACGGGAGAGGACTCAAACTTTAGCACTAAGAATACCTCGACATTCGACCCCTTTGTACTAGTTAACGGCATGCCCTTTTAATTATTTGCCAGTGCCAAAATACTAGGCCTCAATGCCTCTAGTGATTTGAAATGGAACTGTCACATTGATTCCATTATCAAGAAACCTAAGAAGCGCCTGTATAGTTTATCTCAGCTTAAACGCTCTGGCCTAATTACCCGGGAGCTAGTTCAGTTTTTCTGCACTTGCATTTGCCCTATCACGGAGTAATGTATGCATGTCCTGTTTTTCACGACAGTCTTCCCGCGTATCTCTCCAATGAACTTGAGGGAGTGCAAAAGCGGGCTATGAGCATTATTTTCCCTTTCTGCGCGTACGAAGTGTCTTTGGTTGAATCAGGCCTAACTAAACTTTCAGACCGCCGCCAGGAACTTTTAGACAAACTCAGTATTTAAGAAAGTCGTACATAACAAAGAGAATAAGCTCCACAGCCTTCTCGCGGCAGTAATACCTTTAGATCGAACCCCAAGAACACACGAAAATTTAGGCCTGTTTTCAAGACGAACAGATTCCGTAATAGTTTTATTACTTCCAACGCCTTCAAAGTTTAAACTGTGTTTCCGATCATAGTTTTAGAAGTTTCGATTGCTTTTTATCACTGTGCCGATTTGTATTTTTTATTTTTTAACAAATCACAATTTTCCTGTAGTGTATTTATGTATTGTTTCTATTATTCGTTTTTTTTCTTTTTTTTTTATAAATTAGCTTATTAGTGGTAGTCTTTTTAAATCTGTTATCCTTCCGAGTTGAACTGTTTTTCAGTTGTATGGTTTTTTATAAGAGCATCCGACAAGCGCAAATTGGAAAGAATGCAAGAGAAAGGGTTGCGAGCGGTATTTAATGACAATACATCAAGTTACGAGAGATTGTTGAAGAAGACAACCCTACCAACTTTATATAGCAGAAGACTGCAAGATTTGGCAATTTTGATGTTTAAAGTTAAAAATGGAATGTCTCCAGATTATATTTCTGAGCTGTTTCAAAGATCGGACACTACGTAATTCTGACTTTATGATTCATAGATTTAACACGAAAACTTTTGGTAATTATTTTATAAAATACCTTGGTCCGTATCTATGGCGTAAATTACCGATAGCGTTAAGAACGTTAACTGAAACTGATAAATTTAAAAGAAAAATTAGGGAAAGTGATTTAGCCGGTCACTTGAAGGAAGACAAATGTATGTCGGAATGTTGTCGGAATGCACCTTATGCAGCCTCGTACCCAGGCCAGTTCGCGCTATCCGAGTTACCAAAGGAGGCTTGGAAACGAGTGCGATAGCGCGAGGCCGTCCTCAGTGAATTTTCCCGACAAGCTTGACAGGTGACGTCAGATCCGAAATCGCCGTGGACGACTGGGAACGAGGCTGCACCTTATGTAGTTCTTAAATCTTTCTTGCTTTGTATATCTAGCCGGATTTATGAACACCCCACCAGCTGGCTCCTCGAGGCCGCACACCTTAAACTGACTCAACTAAAGTAAATATTATGCCAAGAAACTGTGGTTCTCTTAAGGTGACTCTCTTCTTGGTTTCTGACTAGCAAAGAAACATGAAAGTCCATCAAAAGACACTCTCGACTTGACCATACACTCTAGCTACTCCAAGGCTCTACATGACAAAGGATGCTTGAGACTTAAGCAAGTTCCAAGCGGAGAATTCAAGGCCACATCACCCCCCTGACTCCGCCCCCCAGCCAAGCACGTGCTTGAGGGGAATGCTTTCATTGATCAATGGGCCTCAAACATTAAAAGAATTTGACACGACAAACTTAAGGAAGACCCTGACGCGTGCACTGACTCTCCCAGAGCAAGACTAAGGGACACTACCACGCTTTTGCAGCACCCTTCCCCCCTAGGGGTTGACATGGAGGCCCCTTCCCACCCCATGGCGAGGTAGCTCAGAGACTGAGCTTGACAATGAGACTAACCAGGACGGCAAGCCCCCTATGTTTATGCTCACCACAGTGACCAGAAACCTGGCTATTGCCAGGTTCCTGTGAGAATATTCTTGTCCGTTCTCAGGCTTGTTTTCCAAAATTCGGCTAGATATATGAATTACTTATTTATCTATTTATTTATTCATTTATTATTGATTTTTTCTTTTTAACTGTAAATATTTGATTTTTTTGCTGTAGATATATATCTTTTTATTTCATAGTGTCCCCAATTAGTTTCACAGCTAAAGTACCTGACACTTAAATAAAGTTTAGTAGTCGTCGTCGTCGTGGTAGTGGTAGTGGTAGTGGTAGTGGTAGTGGTAGTGGTAGTGGTAGTGGTAGTGGTAGTGGTAGTGGTAGTAGTAGTAGTAGTAGTAGTAGTAGTATTTTTAAGTAATCATAATCACTTTGTATCGCTAATCGCCCAATTCAACCTCTCGGTTGAGATACAAGTAAACTGTCTATCTATCTATCTATCCATCCATCCATCCATCCATCCATCCATCCATTCATCCATCTAGCTAGCTATCTATCTATCTATCTATCTATCTATCTATCTATCTATCTATCTATCTAAATCTTAAAGTTAATTGTTGTCCTCGTAATCGTGCTCGTCCTCGAATGTAAAGGTTTCTGTATTTACACGGTTCCAGGGTTTTTAGTGTTTTACACTGAAAACCTCGCAGAGACTCCCAATTTGACTCATGATAATTAAATAGGTCGTTCCTTTGTTCAGCGGTATCTAGGATAAAATTTCAAGTTCGCGTGGAGAATTTTGGCTTTAGTACAGTTTGCTTAAGTAATTTATTAAAAAGAACTAATTTGTGCTCAAGAAGCTAAGAGATTAAAGTTAGCTTCTGAACAAAAATCTACATAAAAAAATAACCAAGTTAAACTACAAGCCGTTCTTTATGGATCTTGAAAACAGTCACATGCCCATTGCAATAATTTATGTAACGAACAAACCACTGAAGGCGGAGAGAAATAATTCTTAAGCCCCAAGCAAACGGATGCTACATTATACACTTAATGTCAGATCCCGAGGGAAACAGTTAGTTTTGTTTTCCCTCGAGTCCTGATGTTCCCCAAGACGAAGTCGAGGGAAAAAGATAAGAAAACTGGCAGGACCTGGCAGTGTTTTTCCCGCCTTTTGTCACGCCCCTTTCCACCATGCTTTGACCACGCGCTGTAATGTATAGCCCGAGCGGGGTACATTGCTTAATGTATCACGATCGGGATACATTTGATTTTAGTCAAGGCCACCTGACCAAGAATCAACCAATGGCACCCCCTGTTTAGTTGAGTGAAACTCTAGGAATTTAACAATGTTGAATGTTACATGTTGCGTCCGTTTGCACATCCTGTTGCATGATGTTGCGTGTTGCTGGGAGTTGTTGCGCAAAGCTTGAAGCGGGTCAAACTTTTAAGCCAACAACTGCCAACATTTCTTTTGTTCCTTGATCACCAAAGCGTAGCACAACAATGCTGAATCCGGCCGTTTGCACATGTTGGCGCCACGCACACGCGTTTCACATGGCCTACAAAGTCTTGTGGGTTGTATCCTTCCCAAGATGCACTGCAGGTCCCAACATTGTTGGGAGTTGTTGCACACCAGTGCCAACACGGACACAATAACTCCCAACATTGTTGGCCCAACAACAATGTTGAGAATGTTGGGAGTTGTTGGGTCCGTTTTAACGTAGCTTTAGTAAATACGAAAGCAGCCGCGTAGCAAATGCAATACTCACAATAGCAAACTTGATCATTCTACTGCCGCGAATAAAAAGCTCTTCAAAAATCATTAGATTTAGCCTCTAGAAATAGTGCTAACGCAGACTCTTTACTACTGCCTGTCTTCTGTGTATGTACCTCACCGTCATGTTGCCAAATTCCTTGTTTAGTAAAGCTAATATCATGGCAGGTGTCCATATTATTGTTTATATTGAAGCTAAAATGAACAGCGACAACAATGTTAGCTGTGCGGCAAAATAAAACTGTACATAATGGCAAGGTTTAATTCTAATTTGAAGGTCTATATTTATGTAATTACATCTATCTATAAATTCAGTTGAAAATAAGAGACATTTTACTTTAAAGACTGCGATAAATTGTTACAGTAATTGAATCCATTTTAAGAATTAATCAACAATAATAAAAATAGTTCAAAGAACATGGCGTTTCGACGTTCTCGAAAGTCTTTATCAAGTAAAATGAAAACGTACTTGTAGGTTTTATATAAAACAAGGAAAAAATAAACAATCAATTATCAAAAAGGAAACTAACATATAAGAATATGTTATAAGTTGAAAGTTTATCACTCTTACAATCCTAATAAGAAAATTGGGTAGTTGTTAGCGTTGGGGGGAGTAGGTTTGAACGGGGCCGCGGCGTTAACTTGAGCCTCTGGAGGCAGTGCTCAATAACAAAAAAGAGGCATGGGAAATTTAAGGTGGAAAACCAATTATCAATGGATCAATTACTTGACATGACTGAAACTTAGGACGCAAGCAGAGGGATATCCTTTCTTTTTCCGCTGGCTCTTGCTATTTTATTTACTTTAATTAGTTTCTAGAATGCAGACTTCACAAAATGAATTTAAATGGAGTAAACACGCTTTTATAGACAAGAGGGTGGACCAAAGATGGAAAACCTCCAAGTCGCTTTTGTCTTTGTTGTTTTGTTGTTAATGTTTAAAATTTTGTGTTGGATTAAAACAGACACATAAAAAACTGATCAGATCTTCTTCAGATCCCATGTTCTGCGTCATACTCGTTTGCGGTCCTTTGCAGTTAAAGTGTATTTATTACTTTTTGGATAAAACAGCAGGATTGGATGTCAGCATTATATAAAAGTACCAAGTCATCATAATAATGATGATAACAATAATAATAATAATAATAATAATAATAATAATAATAATAATAGTAATAATAATTATTATTATTATTTGTTATTCATTTTTTAGTTTATTATTAAGAAATGTATTTGGGAAATCGTTATTTATGATTATTGCCAATTTTTCATGATATATGCTACAGTTGTTAGTGTTATATCTTGCTCAATTTTTATTTCAAATATTTCTGTAAATTATATACATATTTTGAAAATTAAATAAACATATTTTTATTCAAAAATTAATAAAATTGTTATTATTTTATTCTGTTTTTCATCATCATTAGATGCCTCATAAAGGATATTTGCCTGCAACGAATTGTCAGTATCAATCTTTTCTATTTAACTTGCTTGGCATTCAACCTACTTCTAATTAACATAATTATATAGCTTGTCGAGGTCCATGAAACTTTGTTGTTTGTAAGCCAGAATATAGATGGGTTTTTATCTTCTACTAATATTGTCAAATTTGTTTCTCCTGATTTGTGAAGGTAAGTAAATAGGAAGTAGCGATGTTTACATGTGTCGGGAAAGGTGTCCATGTATCAAAAGTGAATTTAACCTGAATGACAAACATTCGTTTTTTTATTGTTGTCCGTCTTCCATGAATCTTTGCCCAATGAAAATATTCCCGGTTGTACATTTGAACTCTTAAAGCCCTTGTGATTCTAGCTTTAAATACTATGAATCAGAGCGATCATGTAGTAATAACTTTCCCTGGTTAATATAAAAACTGTGACACACTTTGTAATATCTGCTTTTAGTACTAACATTCAGGTAATTGACAACTAGTATGTAAAGCGTAAACCACAGTTAAATTTACCACAAGGCAAAAAAAAATTAATCATTATTGTGGAATTTGTAACAACAATAATTGCGAAAATATATTATTTGGCGGAAGCCTCATTACAAAATGTTTCTCTTTTGTAATTTACGTGTATTTATTTATTCATTTTATTTCTTTATCGATTTTTTTGTAAAATGCTTTTTGTTGGTAATGCTAAAAATTCGAGTCTGTAAGGGTCGAAGGAACAAGTTTTGAAACGTTTTGAGGACTTTTCTCCAATATCTGGTACGTTTTAGTGGCGTTTCTCCGTCCTGCAGTGAACAACTTACAATAACGAAACTCAGTCATAATACCGATCGAAGGCATAAGGCTTGGTTGTTGTTTGCAAAGTTTATTTTAAGTCAGAAATCATCTTCTTTAGAGAGTTAGAGTCAGATGACCCAGTTTAATTTTCGTTTTAGGGCCTCTTCACATGAGCCCGGTTGACCGGGCTGGCCCAGTTTCCGAGATCTCACCTTACCTCTAAATTCTTTGCAAAATTTTCGATGTGTTCATATGAGAGGGCCGGGCAGGCTCGATTCTTAGCGGGATCTCGCTAAGTGGGCTGGAAATTTTGCCATATGAACACTTAAGCCCGCGAGTTACCGGGATGAAAACGGGAAGAAGTTTTCGAATGAATTCTGCATCGTCTTGCTTTGCCTCGTGTATTTTCCACATTATAAGCATCCCATTTGACATCTGTGACACAGTTATAACAGTTGCCAGAGATATAATAGGCCGAACCTTATAACTTTGTGTTTTGCCATGTTTGCTTTGTTTCTCGGGTTTCGCGCACCACAACTCGTCTTCGGTCTTTTGTCATCTCGGAATCCGGGCTGAAAATTCTCATATGAACGCAGAAGATCAAATTGGTCCCGGTAAGCGGATCCCTGTCCACCGGGCTCATGTGAAGAGGCCCTGTCTGTTCTAAATTAGGTAAAGATCGTAGGACGACGATCAATTTCAGTTCCTTAAAATACACCTGAAATCTTCTGCTGAATGTCATGATGGTATACCTCAACTTGTAATTTATCCTGAGTCGGCCATTCTAAGTTTTCCTCATAAATTGCATTGGCCTTCGGAGTAAGTAGGTCTGCTGAATGGAATTTGCCAGATAACGTCAGCTTTGTACAAAGTATTGTTTTGAATAATGGGAAAATGCTGGGTTTGACTCCCCTCCACGAAACGAGTGTCTCACCAGTGCAGGAGCGATATAATTTATAGCCGATCTTCCTTGATTATATACAAGCCAGGAATTTTTAATAAAACTTGCTAACGATTAGAAAAGGAGTTACCAAACATCATTATATATTATTTGTTTATTATTTTTTATGAACATAGTAATTACCAAGAATATAATTGCAGATTCTGCCTTGCGGTGTAACATTTGCGAGTCTGAGAAATCGTGGAATCACTGCCAGGAAAATAGAATCATTGTTGATTGTTCCAGTGCGGACCCAGACTTCGACGTTTGCTTTAAAGCCCATATAGCTACGAAAATAGCAGACAACTCTGAGAAGCACTTCTACAGAAGAGGATGTGGGTATCAAGAGTTATGCAGTGGCGAGCAATGTAAGAACGGAGACAGGTGCTTAGTGAACTGCTGCAATACCGACAACTGCAATGGTTCGTTGGTGGTAAAAGCTTCCATCTACTTGACGTATTCGTTAGCTGGAATATCCATCTTCTTACATTTGCGTTAAGAGAGATCCAAAATTCTTTCTTTTCCTTTAAGTGCAGGTTGATTTTTTAGGGCAAAGCAAGTTTAATGGCTCGTATTATTCAACATTGTTGCATGTAACTATATTAAAAGGAGGGTATGCTGCTGGATAGTGTTGGATGGGTGTTCAAACGAACTCAAACATTCTTTTTATTACAAATGGTAGGCGAGGTGCCGACGATGGCGACAATCAACTTTTTTTGTTGAGAATTGTTACGCAGCCCAAACAATCAACTACTCTCTGGGTGTTGTCGGTCAATAGTATTCTTGGTCGTTGTGAAGCACTTTGAAAAATACAGATTCATACTGAATATTTTCACACATATTCAACACATAAAATAGGTGAGATAAAAACAGGACTAAACACAAGGTTCCATGCACTGATTCAGGTCGATTTACAAAGCTTTGATCAAAACATTCTCAGTTGCGAGAATATATTTCATGTTAAACTATAAGAAAAGATTTGAGTAGAAGTGGTTATTTTTCCCTTTTTCTCATGCACTTTTTACTATGTACTTATTTGACAAGCGGCTAGAAACCTACTGTCCATTTATTATCTCGCAAAGTAACGCTTTAGAGTGTTTCCACTCACGTGGGCAGCATCTATGCAAATTTTATTGGAACAAAAGAAAGCGTTTGCATTAAAAAAGAGTTCAACTCCGAAAGGATTTTCTTGGTAGACCAACATGGCCACCGTTTCATTGTTTTGGGTACACCAATATGGTCGCCGTGACGTCATATGAAAACACTCCTTAAACAGCTCGGGACTGCGAAAAAACGCGACGCAGGGGCAGGACCAAGAGGGGACTTATCGATTAACATTTCGTTTGAACTTTTTTATTCAGGAGACATTTACATTTAAATCTGTATTTTGGAGCAAAGTGTAGCCCCCGAAATGTTCCCTTGTTTGTATTTCTTCTGCAAAGTGCAACAGGCCATTGCTCAAATTCCAATAAATTACAATTGGGACGCACAAAAAGAGGATTGTCTGCCTGTTGTAAATACAATGTGCCGAACACATTATTGTTGACATGATATCTATAGATCTGGTTATCTTAAAATGAAACTTTTCAGTATAAAAGAAACTGAAATAAACGGGAATAACAAAAATTGTGAGAAAAAACAATAAACAAAATTTCTAGTAAATAGAAACTCGCTAATGTTTTATACCAGTTACCGGGCGATAAATGAATAACACACGAGATCGACGCCAAATCGATGTGCCAGCCGGTCCATCATGGCGCCCAAACCGTAAAATCATAAGGTATCCAGAACGATACCCGAGGAAAATTGTAAATCCAACGGGGGAAAGAAACGACTCGGATACTAAGCGTTCTCTTTTGTCGAAACAAAAAATTCCAGCATTCATTTGGCATTCCCAGCCTAGACTGGTGGACTATAGTTAGGATTATTCAGATATTGAAATTTTATTTTTAAAACATACTGTTTGTCCCCCGGTTGACAAAATATGACAAAAACATAAATCAATATCAGTTTTTCTTAGTTATGATCAGTACACGATCAGGTCATAATCTTTAGTAATACGGTATTGAGAGATCACGAAAAAGTGGAACCACTATACGGTCTCATCAAAGAAATGGCAACATATCCGAGCGAACTCTTTTAAACTGCAGGGAAAAGGAAAGGTTTAAAGCTCATTCTAGAGTTTCTTGTCAACATAATTTACTTACTATCGTAGATATGGCGCCAGTAAGTGGTTCGCTTTCCTGTTTTAAGTGTTCGCAGTCAAACTTGACAAACCCAACTATCTTCCCCACAATCTTACTTGCCCCAGGATGTCACTAAAAGCGTTTTGGTTTCTGTTTCCAAGTGTATTAATTAAAAAGAAACTAAACGTCATTTAATAAAAATAACAAACACCGCGTGGCGTGTGCCCATGAACTTTATTGTTTCTGAAAATGAACAAGTTTCATATGCATTTTGTTACTTCGATTTATTACCTTTCGGGGGATTGTCGCGTCCACAGTTTTTTCGACAACCTTTCTCGAAATAGCTGTATACATTTGTTTTAATCGTTTATTCAAAAGAACTCGGATTAACCGTATTAGTTCCAAAATAAACAACTGAGCAAAAGTTTTTTTCGGTAATTGTTTTATAAAATTAAAAGTGGAGAACTTAGTCATGCAATAAAAGAAAATTTAAAAAACCCCGAACAAACGTCGGGAAACCCCGTTTGTTGAGAGAATGAGAAAAGCAATCTCTCTTGAGAAAAGTTAAATAATATAAATTAAACATTTGTAATCTTGGATAGCTTTTAAACCACTCTCGATGATATTACGTTGAATACTGACAAAACACTCAAAAAGGTTTTTAGTTATTAGTTAGTTTTTTATTATCATCATTTTTATTAGGCCACGCACCTGTTCAAGCTAAGGCCAGCATTTCAAAATGACCGACTTCTTTTGGAACTTCCAGTATTAAGATAGTGGATCCATCAATACAGCTATAGTACTATAAGTCGACCCCCACAAAATTTAGAAGGGTTTGTATGGAGTTTTCTAAGCATAACTGGGCTACGATCTCAGAGACAATTTGCCCCGAAATGCTCATTTTTGGCAAGTAGGCCTCTTGGACATTGTTCTTTCAGAATATCCTGAAAAATCCCATAACTTCAGAAATTTCATTTTTATGGCGTCATCACTTTAGTACTCTATAGCAAACTTGATCATTCTACTTCCGTGAATACAAAACTCTTTAAAAATCATTAGATTTAGCCTCTAAAAATAATGCTAACGCAGACTCTTTACTGCTGCTTGTTTTCTGTGTATGTACCTTACCGTCATGTTTCCAAATTACTTGTTTATTAGAGCCAATATCATGGCAGGTGCCAGTATTATTGTCTATATTGAAGCTAAAATTAACAACAACAACAATGTTGGCTGTGCGGGAAGATAAAACTATAATGGCAAGGTTTAATTCTAATTTGAAAGTCTTTATTTAAATAATTACATCCATAAACTCAATTAAAAAGAAGAGATGTTTGAAACATTTTACTTTAAAGACTGCGATAAAATATTGCAGTAATTGAAGCCATTTCAAGAATTAATAAATCTTAATAAAAAAAAGTTAAAAGGACATGACGTTTCGACGTTCTCGAAGGACATTAACAAAATACTAGTAGGTTCTATATAAAAACAAGAAAAAACAATCGATCTTCGAAAAGGAAACTAACATATAAGAATATGTTAAAAGTTAAGCCGGAAAGAGCTTACCAATTAATCTTACTAGCCTAATAAGAAAATGGGGTAGTTGTTAGTGTTGGGTGAAGGACGTTTGACCGGGGCCCGCCTTGACTCCAGCCCCCGGTGGCAGCGCTCAATAACAAGAGCTCAGCGAGGTGCTACGGATTTCAAGTGACAGGGATGATCGAATTGGGACAAAAATCAAAACCCCAAAAAAATCCCTTGGGCTTCAAAACGAAACAAAAAAAAAAATCCCCAGACCAAAATTTAACCCCCAAAAGATCCCACGCCGAATTTCCAAGCCATACAAATTTCCAGAAAGCATTCCCACGAAAAATAAAAACATTAGTTTTGAATACCCCAAAAAATCTCTAATTAAATCAAGCTACCCGGAAAAATACTTGCCAAAATTTTCCTACCCCAAAAAATCCCTCCATCATCCCTGTCACTTGATATCTGATGTACCCCGCTCCCCCCTCCCCCCTCCCAATCCCCGGGGGAACAGGAGTCATGGGAAATGAACCAATTACTTGACTGAAGCTTACGACGCACGCGTAGGGACATCCTCTCTTTTTTCGCTGGCTCTTCAGTGTTATTTCATTTACTTTAATTGCCCCTGCAGGGATTTCGCCCAGAAGGCGAAATTCCGAGGAGGCACTCTAGTAACTCGCGCGTATATTAAGGAAAGTACCTACAGTTGAAATATACAGTCTGACAGGTAATAAAGAGAAAAAGAAGGGATGACAAAAGGAGTGGGGATTGGGTAGAGAAGGAAGGGAACACCTGCTACAATAACCCCCTTTTCTTCACTTCTGCGGACGCTGGATCCGCCAATTCTGATTGGTTAATCAGACAATAGAACAAGCTTGTTCAGCAGACCAGACTGGCGATCTCAGTTATCCTGTGTCATCTTGTCAAACATTTTCCGCTCGATGACTTCTCCGTTAGGATTCAAAATCAATACGTTAAGCTGAGTGTTTGGCTTTCCCGTAATATCTTTTATCTTATACTAACAATAATTCGACAAAATATCGGTATCTTGTCCAGCGAGTGTAAGTGAGGCGTCTGTGTCAATGTTTCAATCAATTTCCGATTCTGCGTTCGACGAATCGCGCACTGTCGAGCTTTCTGAAAACAAATTTTTTATAGAATTATCCTTTCCAGGACTTTTTTCTTTCAGCCGTTCACCGTCAGATTCGAGATGTTTCTTTCTTACATCGCTTCCTTCTGGCGTGATAGTGGTGGGAAGCTGTCTTTTGCTTCGATCTTCCTCAGTCTCGCAATGTAATTTCTCGATGGAACTGTACAGTTCAGCTGCGTTTCTGATTTTGAGACCACAAGGTCTGCAGACCTGTTTTGACAAGTTTTCGTTTCTGGTTTATAATGGCAACCCAACAGAGCCGCAACAATGAGCCAAAATCAGCCCCGCACTTTCAACTCTGCCCGACGGCGAAAATAAGTTTTCAAATGAGACTCGTCCTTCCATAGAAATGAAGTTAACTCCACAAAATCTACAATTTCTGTTATTTTGAACGTTTGCATTGGGTTTCAGTCCCCTTTCACAAATTTTTTACAAAGTCGCCGACATTCTGTTGCAAAGATTTTCTCATGCTTCAGGCGATACTCCCGCGTGAAGTCAGTCATGCGGAAAAGCGCGCTCCTAATTCTGATTGGTGAAGAATTGACAGCTGGGAAATTGAAATAAGGGAAGAAATGCAAAAGAAAAGCTGCTTTTGTAGCAGGCGTTTCCCTTCATCTCTTTCTTACCCTCCCGCCCCTCCCCCCTCAACGTCTGTATACAAAAACACTTGGAGAGTTTGCCAGACACGAGTTCACAGATCTTTGATTAGAAAGACACTCTTTCTCCCCCCCTTTTCCGGAGTACGACTCAGCCCCAAACAAGCAAGACGAGTGAACCAACGGCAAGCTTATCATTAGCAGAACGATGGACGATTCCAGAAATTCGTCGACAATCAAATTCTGTGCTGACTTATTCCCTGCTCACAGATGTCCTCCGCTATAAAGTTTAAAATAAGACTAGAATGCGCGAGCGTGAAATTATCAAATTCCTTTTAATTTCTAAGGCTTACTTTCCGGAAAATAAAATGAACCGTCTGTAAAAAGTGAAAGAGAAATAGCGAAAAATTCAACTTCTAATTAAATCTGTTCTTATGGTTGGTTTACAATAAACTATATATATTCTCGAAAATGAAAATTGAGCAAAGCTGTGCAAATCGAACTGAAACTGTGCATGGGACCTTGCGTTTCCTGTTTTTATTTTTCACCTATTGTATGGAATATGTGTGAAAATCTTCATTATGACTCGGCATATTTCAAAGCACTAGACGACCAAGAATGCTATTGACCGACAATGTACAGAGCGGGGGCAGCTGTATAGTGCCAACTATTACTAGTTATAGTTTCTAGAATGTAGACTACAAAAGTACATTGATTTAAATGGAGTTAACACGCTTTTGTAGACAAGAGGGTGGGCCAAAGATGGAAAGCCTCAAGTCGCTTTTGTGTTTGTTGTTTTGTTCTTAATGTTTAAAATTTTGTCTTGGATAAAACAGATACATAAAAAGCTGATCAGGTCTTCTTTAGATCCTACGTTCTGCGTCATACTCGTTTGCGGTCCTTTGCAGTTAATGTGTATTTATTGCTTTTTGGTAAAACAGCAGGATTGGATGTCACCATTATATAAAAAGTACCAAGTCATAATAATAATAATAATAATAATAATAATTATTATTATTATTATTATTATTTAGTTTATTATGACAGTTGTCTACATTTGCTCTGTTGAAAACCACCAGACCATCAAGAAGTCTTTTTTAACCATAGTTATACTAAATTTGTATTTAATTTTCAATTTGAGAAGAGTTTAATAAAGTATGTTTTTTGTTATATTGTTTTAAAAACAAAATTATTATTATTATTATTATGTCCATTCCTTGAAGACTCAGGCAGGATGTTCGGCCTCATTAATAGTCCTTGGGAGCGGGTTACAAGAAGTCATCACGGGTCCCAGGTCTCTCTTTTCCTTAGTACTTTTATTTTCTTTCATTTCCCTCTCCTTAAACTTGTCCAATTCTGGAATGCTCAGATACTTGTAACCTTTGTCATCAACTTCCTTTGTCGTCTGTCGATTTATCAACTTAATACGTATATCCTCACTTTTCCACAACTTCCCCCGTTTCAGCACTACAACACCACATTTCTTTATCCCAAATTCCATTCCTATGTCTTGGCTAATCAACTGTACTGTCGATACAAGGCTTTCAATCTCTGCTTTATCCTTGCCATAGACCTTCAAGTCATCCATAAAGAACAAATGATTTATTTTGACGTCTCCTAAAGTATATCCAGCTTTGTATCTTGAAGGATCTTGGTAAAGGGTACCATGCAAACAGCGAAGATAAGGACGGACAGGCTGTCTCCTTGAAAAATACCCCGTCTAATATCAGGGGCACCCAACGTGAATTTTTGGAAAATATCTATTCGGAAGACGATTTGAGATCTAGAATTTTCGGAACATTTTGTGTAAAATTTCTTGCTTGCCTGCCTCTCCTAGGATTTTCGAACACCTAAAAAATGGTATAATTGCCCATTTTTAACTGATTTTTATCCTAAAAAAGGTCTCCTAGAATTTTCGAGAGCCTTTTTTCTGGCTGGAATTTTCGAAAAGGTAAGGTTTGATTCGAATCGATTCGCGCAAAGGTATTCACTTAAAGAACTTGTGATCCTTTGTTATTATGCTAATTTGTAGAGACTCTAGAAATCAAATATTCGCATTACTTATTCATTTTGCCTTGAGAATGGTGTCATGATGATACCGAAACGTCGGCTTTTAACGTTAATATTCGCTTGATTATTATTATTATGATTATTATTATTATTGTTATTGACTTACTTTAAAAAACTGTACTGTTTTCAACACAGGCGGCCCAGACATAGTATGTGTCACTGAATGAATATATTAATATTCACATGGACAAATTAATGCGATGAGTCGTCGAAACTCCAATGAACTAAAATAGTCCAAAAGTCAAAATATAACAAAACAAAGCTAAGATATCTTTAACTGAACGTATCCTTGTCTTTCCTGGCCGGTTAAAGTGGCATTTCGTTAAGTTTTGCAATTGTAGGTACTATCCACTAAAGAAGAATTAAAGGCTGGCTACAAAACAAACGGACCATCATAATAATAATATCATAATTGAATTCCAAAATCTAAATGACAAACATTCGTAGCCTGCGAAAACATCCGTAGTCTGCGAAAACATCCGTTTCTCCCCGCTCTTCGCCGCTGGGGACGTTTCGCGAGGAGGAATGTCTGCGACTCAGCGACAGAAATTCCATACTGATGACGCAAATCAATGTTTACATAATGAATCCGGTATTCATGGGGTTCCAAATATAAATTTGTCCAATTTTGCGTGTCTTCTGGTCGATCTTGGTGAAGTGTTGTGTTCATCTGTCAATGAGCTCCAGCAAAACTCAAATGCTTCTTCTAGAGAAGACTATATTCTAGAAATATCCGAAAAATAGAAACATTAGTTTTGTATAGCCAAAAAAATTCCAACTTAAATCAGGCTACCCATAAAAATACTTGCCAAAATTTTCCTACCGAAAAAAATCCCGAAATCGAAATTAATCATCCCTGTCACTTGATATTTGGAGTTCCCCCCCACCCCCGCCCGCGCCCCACGCCCCGAACAAAGTGAAAAAGTGAACTCCAGATGTTTTGTTGATTTCTGGCGGCCATATTGGTGCACCAAAACGGTGCACCAATATGGCGTCTCCATACAAAGCTCTTCAAAGGTGCGTGAAACATTGCGGCAAATAACTCATCAGAAATTGTGGGCCACAAAGACCTGAGACTTGGATAAATTGTTTATAAATTAGTCTTTTATAACATGTCATTGTCTTGGCTTCTTCCACTGGACGGTTTCCAATTTAATTTTTCGTTGCGTGACAGCCAGTGAAAACGATCTATACTCTCGGTTGCATCTAAGTGTGTACACGTGAGGCAAAAACATGTTGTAATTGGAGGCAAACATGACATGTTTTGCTGCCAAACAATCGAAGTTTGGAGTAGGTTAGAAATATGCGTGAAGGTTGAGGAAAATGAAATATGAGCGGAACGCGCTGATCAAAAACATATCAACAACTTACCTTTGGCGCGACACTTTGCTTTAACGGCTGTCAAACTTCAAACGTTTGGCGGCAAAACACGTCATCTCTGGCGCCCTATTAGATCATGTTTTTTTGTCTCGTGTCCACGCTTAGGCCCAGTTCAGACGTCGTGCTTCTGCCGTGCCGAACTTAATTGTAATTTGGTTCGACTGTAGCACGGCAGGAAAACAACTTTGATTCAGACGTCGTGCCAGAGTCGAACCGAATTCAGGATTTACTGATGCCTCGTAACAATTCTTCTCCCAACTCTCCGTGGGAAAGCAATCTCGCCAAAATACATTAATATAATTTATGAATTTTGTTTAGCGCGGCAGAAGCGCGACGTTTGAATCGCTGCCGTGCCAGAGCCATGTAGCACCGCAGCGCTTGTCGAAGTTAATTGCTTGCCGAACTTAATTCAAAAGTTTGATTCAGACGCCGTGCTTCTGCCGTTCTTTTGTCGAACTTAATTCCTGAATTTAGTTCGAAACGGCAGAAGCACGACGTCTGAACTGGGCCTTAGATGCAACCGACGGTATTGCTTAATTTTTATTTCGAATATTTCTGTGAATTATATACATATTTTAAAGTTAAATAGACATCATTTTTATCAAAAAATTATTAATATTATTATTATATATGTTCATCACTATTAGATGCCAAATAAAGGATATTTGCCAACGAATTGTCTATATCAATCTTTCCTATTTAACTTGCTTGGCATTCGACCTACTTTTAATGAACAAAGCGTGTCCCGATCTATGAAACTTTGTTGTTTGTACGCCAGAATGAAGACGGGTTTTTATCTTCTACTTATAATGTCAAATTTATTTCTCCTGATTTGTGAAGGTAAGTAAATAGGAAGTGTATGTTTACATGTGTCAGGGGAGGTGTCCAATCATAATTCAATTTAACCTGGATGACAAAACTTCGTTATTCTTTGTCATCTTCATGAATCTTTGTCCTATGAAAATATTCCCCGCTGTACACTTGAACTCTTAAAGCTCTTGCGCATCTAGCTTTAAATATTGTGAAACAGAGCGATCATGTAGGGATGCTCTTTCGCTGGTTAATATAAAAAGTGTGACACACTTTGTTGGATCTGCCTTTGAGCACTAACATTGGGAACTGACAACTAATATTGAGAGCACAAACCACAGTTAAATTTACCACCACGCAAAAAATTTTAATCATTGTTTTCGAATTTATAACAAAAATTATTGCGAAAAACATTATTTGGAGGGAGCCTCTCTGTAAAATTTTTCTTTTTTGTAATTTAACGTGTATTTATTTATTCATTTCATTTATTTATCGATTTTTTGTAAAATGCTTTTTGGTAACGGTAAAAACTCGAGCGTTCAAGGAGGCGAACGAACAATTTTTGAAAAGTTCTGAGGACTTTTCTCCAATATCTGGCACGTTTTAGTTGCGTTTCTCCGCCATGCTGTAAACAACTTACAATAAACCCAATCATGATAGCGATCGAAAGCATAGGGCTTGGTTGTTATGTGAATGCAAAGCTTATTTTAAGTTTTATCATCTCCTTTAAAATCAGGTGACCATGCAGAAAGGTTCTTGTTAATGATCCTTGTATGAGAATACCTTTAATTTTCGTTTTAGGGAATCTTCACATGAGCCCTGTTTCGGAAATCTCGCCTTACCTCTAAATCTTTTGTAAATTTTCCATGTGTTCAGAGGGCGGGATAGCTCGGTTTTTCCGACCGGGATCTCGCTAAGTGGGCTGGAAATTTTGCCATATGAACACTTCAGCCCGGTTACCGGGAGGAAAGCGGGATTAATTTATCGAATGAATTCTGCATCGTCTTGCTTTGCCTGTTGTATTTTCCACATCATAAGCATCCCATTTGACCGGTGATACAGCTACAAGAGTTGCTAAAGTTATAATAGGCCGAAACTTATAACTTTGTGTTTCGCCATGTTTGCTTTGTTTCTCGAATTTCCCGCCACAACTCGCGATCGTCTTCGGCCTTTTCTCATCTCGGAGACCGGGCTGAAATTTCTCATATGAACCAAGAAGGTGAAATTGGTCCCTCTAAGGGGGCCAGCCCAGTCAACCGGACTCATGTGAAAAAAGAGGCCCTGTGTGTTCCAAGGTAAAGATCGTAGGACGACGATCAATTTCAGTTCTTTAAATATGCACCCAAAATTTTGTCATGATGGCTGGTATACCTCAACTTGTAATTAATCCTGAGTCGGTCATTCTAAGTTTTCCTCATAAATTACCTGGGCCTTCGGAGTAAGCAGGTGTGCTAAACGAAATTTTCCAAGTTTTGTCACATGACGGCGGCTTTATTGCAAAAAATTATTGTTTTGAATAATGGGAAAATGAAACGAGTGTCTCATGCTGGTGCGATTTTTGTAGCCGTTGTTGAGCCTGGAATTTTTAATAAAACTTGCTACCGATTAGAAAATAATTACCAAACATCATTTATTTGTTTATTATATGTTTATGAACATGATAGTAATTACCAAGAATATAATTGCAGATTCTGCCTTGCGGTGTAACATGTGCGAGTCTGAGAAATCGTGGAATCAATGCCAGGAAAATGGAATTATTGTTGATTGTTCCAGTGAAGACCCAGGTTTCGACGTTTGCTTTAAAGTCCATATCGCTAGGAAGATGGCAGATGACTCTGTGAAGCACTCCTACAAAAGAGGATGTGGGTATCAAGAGTTATGCAGTGGCGAACAATGTAACCAGCAGGGAGACTGGTGCTTAGTGAACTGTTGCAATACCGACAACTGCAATGCTTCGTTGGCAGTAAAAGCTTCCATTTACTTGACGTATTTGTTAGTTGGAATATCCATCGCCTTGCATTTATGTTAAAAGAGATCCAACATTCTTTCTTTTTCTTAAAGCGAAGGTTCATTTTGAGGGCAAAGCAACTTTTAATGGCCCCATTATTATTCAACATTGTTGCATGTTGGACAGACGTTGAAACGAGCTCATACATACTTTTTAAGACAAAATGTTTGCCTGCGTGCAGACGATGGCGACAATCAACTTTTTTGTTCATATTTTTGTTTACTCAAGTTTGGGCTTATAGAAGATAATGTCACAGTTTTTTCAATGACCACGAAATTCAGAGTCCGGGTAGTTAGTTTATCAATTGTGGCCCTGAAAAAATTTGAAGGAAAAAAAAACTACGAATTTTTAAGAAAATGCTTTTTTCGTGAGATTGACTCTTAAACGCTGACAAACGTCAACAAATAGCGAAAACTATAATTTCTATATGTTTGCTTTGCTCGAAATCGCGCGCATTTACAAGGCCCTAAATTGTTTTGCTGACTTGCAAGGACCCATCTGTTGTAAGGATGCCCAAAATGCAGAGATGAATCTCATAGTTTATTAGATATAATCCGTGTAAAGTTTGCTTATCATTTTCGCATAAATTATGACCTAAATTTGGAAACCGCTGAATTTCTCGAATTGGGTCTTTGCGATTTTGGTGAAACTCTGTTCAGCGCAAGGCACTAATGCGCACTATGTGTAGCCGAGAGATTTTCACGAAAAAATGCCGGCAACAGCAGATTTTCGACTCAGACCTCAAAGGGGCGTGGCATTATAACCACGTGACATTTACTCCGATCGCCAAAAATTTTATGTTATATTGTAGATTGATCTATATGTTATCCATTCTGTGTGTTATACTTATGATAAAAGTAAAGGTGGGGATACCAGAGAGCTTCAAAGTAGGATGGTACCCCCTAAAAAAAACTGGGTCGAGTCACCTTAATAGACATCAAACCGGGCCCAAGTTACTTAACGGGCAAGTCTAGGCAAGCCTATTGTTTCTTTCGTGTTCTTCTTTGTGAAAATAAACGACTATCCACTTAATTATAAATGGACGAAGGCACTAAATTAGTATGGAGGAACGCATTTTTACCTAGCTAGCTAGACACTGACTAGGCACATAATTAATACTCAGGAAGACAGTGACTAGGCACTTAATTAGTATATGACTAGGCACTTGCTAGGCACTGACTAGGCACCAAAGGGGCCCAAATCATCCCTCTATGACTACTCACATTCAGAATTCAAAAGAAATTTTCCATGAAACAAGACATTCAGGGCCAATTATTATAAAGGCAAGAGAGTAGCAAAATTTGCCGCCATTTAACATAACTAAAGTGTATACGCCGCCTTACATATTGTATACAAAACTGGGAAAGAATAATTGCGCTTCAGTGCGTGCATCGGTCAAATAGTGTTACCACAGTCGTTCAAGGTTGCCAACGTGTTGCGACATGGTTCACCCCTCTTGAGAAAAAAGAAAAGGTTGGATGAAAAACTGGAACTTATTCACACTGCTGTTTCAACATTATCCAAAAATATCATGTGAACACTGTCCAACTGACAAGGTCTCCGAACGAACTCGACATGCATGCATCTCCAACAATTTAATTTGCGAGGAAAAAGGTCCATATGCGTGAACTGATCGGTTTTTAAGGGGTTTCAAAGCTTACAGTTTCTAAAAAGACTTGATTCTAATCAAGTAATACATCATAAAAATAAACTTTATGCTTACGATCAGTACAGACTGTCATGAATAAACTCTCAGTTTAGGCTAAGTAAAAAAATGTTTCTCGCCCACATTTCTATATAAAAAAAATGGACCAAGCGAGGACCTTTTTTTTATTATTTCAGACTTATTTTTATTTATTATTGCCAACTGAACGCTTTCTTTAAGAATTATTACCCTCTCCATTCTGGGATAAGTACTAGTTGGAGTTTTTCGGTCAAACACAAATTTGTAATGCTATATAATGATACATATTTTAGAGTGAACTAAAAAGGCCATTGTAGGACTCGGTATTGAGTACTAAATGCTTCGTGTTATGAAAATAAACTGCTGTTACACAGGATTTTAGAATAATTGTTACTGAAAGTAACGCCTGTTGTTATTAGGTTCGTTTTAACCGTTTCAAATAACAAATAATAAAAAGAGAGGGGGGATTGCTCAGTAAAGTATTTTACGGGGAGGCTCCCCCCCCCCGAGGTCCAATCCCTATCCCCCTTTTATATACCATTTTGGCAAGAAAGGCACCCCTCTCGTATACTATTAACAAATGGTACCCCTCTCTCGCATACCTAGTTACCTAGGCACCGAGTATATTCTTATTTTTTGCGTACCTGAACTCCGTGAAACCAATAAAAACCGACACAAAAAATAAAAAATAAAACCCGAGACAACACAAAACAGGTTAGGTGCAGTGAATGATCGAAAGTGAATGAATTTATACTAGGTATACGTGTCGATAGAGTGCCAACGAGCAAATCATGCGTATTTTGCATAGGAATGGATGGATTCCTTTTTTCCAACATTTGACAGTTTCTTGGTCCCTTCCTGTTGAAAGGATTATTTTCTTGAAACTGAGGTGCTATGCAAGTATAAAGGTTCGGAGAAGAGTCATTACTCAGACTCCTGTGGCTTTACGAACCTGCTATATAAAAATTTGAAGTATCATGAGGCATACGTTTTTGAAAGAATAAAACAGCTTGCAGAGGAAGCGATCGGTAATATTTAGGGGGAAATATAAAAAATGATCGTTTCTCTTACCTCTATAAAATTAGTGTCGGTTCGGCTTCACTTTGTAGATAAATATTTGTACACTTTAATCATTTAAACCTCCTCTGAAATTTTCCGAGGCTTTTTGTCGAGTACCCGATTGAATTTTAGAATGATTCACTGCGCTGCTTGAAATGTTTTCAAGGACATGCGATGTACCGCACGAAGGTGTTTTGTTTTCACTTTATTATAAACTCGGCCAGGTTTCGAAAAAAATAGCGTTGTTTTCTTTTCCTTTGTCGTTCGCTTTAGGCTTGTAATTCTTTTTTTATTCTTATTTTCCATTTGCTGGTTAGATTTTTTCCCCCCAACATCAGATTTTGTAAGAGAAGCGACTATATATTCTTCCTATCAAGCTTTCCTTGTCTCCTCGTGTAATCTGATCCTTTTTAGTGGTGAGAATTGCTTGTTTCACATGGAAAACTTTTCTTTGCTTAAACTGTTGTTTTACAAGCTTCTCTTCGTTAAAACCTTACATTAATGGCCCCCCAAATTAATACAATGCATCAAGTTTTCATTTTCCTTGACTACCGGGGCCAGATTTAGGTGAAAAAACAATAAAAGCGTACCACATTCAAGTTCAGTCTTCGCGTGCCGCTGAGGAAAGAACACATGTGCGCCTAGTATAGTTTACCGCCTTTTGATTGGCTGAAACTGTCACACCACTTGGTCTCAGGGGAATCTACATTACATGAGATTACACTTTTTGAGGCTCGATCGAGAATTTTTCTGCCTACAGCCGAGTCTTGCGCGGCTCTATTCTGCTGCCGCCTCGCCATCCGAGCGTCGTCGCTCGGATGGCTCGTTGGCAATTAAATTACGATGTATCTGAAGTTTTTATCAATTTACCCTCAGCCCGTAACCGAAAATACGGGTAGATTGCTTCCTACCTGGGAGAAACGGTTAGGCTACAAAGAGATTTAATTTCGGCATTTTAAAAGCCTTACTGGCTTGACTGTAGCCTGGACCAGGATCCGTACTGGGGGGGGGGGGGGGGGGAAAAA